ACGAACCGTGCACCGCAGAGTATCTCGAAGAGTCGTGGATTGAGTGACAATCTTTTTGAGGGATCAATAGCCCTGTAAAGCATTCCGCAGATCGACTCGCAGTCGGGTTCCTGTTTACTGTAGGTTGAAGAGAGACGCGTGGAATAAGGAAAACTGCCTACGGTTTTAAAGGCAATTTTAGTTTCTTCATTAAAGCGCTGAAAGATTGGCTATGAAGCGCGAATACACTTTACTCTTCATCCTCCTGAAAGCTGCCGTGTTCCTATGGGGTGAGTATGTTTCACAGATGAACCCCACTTGCGCTTTCCGAGAAATTGTATTTAATTCGACCACAATTAACGAGTGAGTTTCATTAACTGATTTTCTTTCGTTTACCAGGAGTCAGTGGTCAGGAGGAAGTCTACCAGACGCCACTCTCTGTGACTGTTGGGGAGAAGGAAAATGTGCTTATCAATTGTTCCGCAAAAGGAACGACTCAAACTTTACAGTGGTACAGACAGTATCCGAACCAGGCTCTCAAACACTTGGTAACAGGAAAGACAGGAGAGCAGCAGAAGGAGAGGATCACAGCAACAATGAACTATAAAGAGAAGGGCAGTCATCTGAGCATCACAGGCACAGAAGTGACAGACGCCGCCACCTACTTGTGTGCAGTGGAGACACAGTGAGACAATCACATAGAGAGGCCGTACACAAACCCCCAGTGATCAGTCAGCAATTCCCCTCTTGTTCATCACAATAACTGCTCAGCACTCACTGCCTCTCAGTTTCCCTCAATTTCCTTGTTCATGACGGGATGTCCATATCATGTCTGCAGGACATGTGGTGTCATATAGCTCAGTGGTGAGAGCGAAAGGACTTTGTTCGATTAGGGACAGATGGCTTTTACAGGGGTAAAGTTTCCTTCAATACTGATAACAAATTAGTCACTCAACTCAATGGGACACAGATGCGAACGATTGGCTGCGGTGTTTCGCTCACACAATGTGCAGCCCATTCGTATACAGTGTAATATGTGAAGTACTTTGCGGCGTCTGGAAGGTGTAACAATATGCAATAGCGAATGAAAAGATTAAAACTATAATTAAATATAATCATGTTATTGTCGCAGTAATAAACTCAAAGTCCTGCTCTCTGGGGCAATGCCGCCGCATGTACGAGCCTTTCTGTGGGGTATTATTCAGCAGGATATCATCAAACACAACAACTCATATTCAAGTACTGCCATACACAACGGGAAATAAAAAATAGGCTGAAAAATATTTGCCATCAAATGTCTCCAATTGTACAGGTGATGTAGCTGCAATTCACCAGCAGAAGGCGAAACAAACACATATACAACATGAGCTGCAACTTGTACAACTTGTCACTTTCCTTTCTGCAACTATCTTCCTTGGCAACACTAACAGCTGCTTCCTGTTACATTTAACATTGGTTCACTCATACAATATTGCTGCTTCAGCTGAAAGATACAAAGTTTTCTCCAAAGCATAAGTAACAAAATGTTTAGTTTACTCAAGAAGCAGCTTCTGTGTCACTTTTTTTAGATTATTGCCTGTCTCCCAAATAACCAGTCGCCCTTAATCCGATCTCTCTGCTGTATAATGCTTCTCTCCTGAAATGTTGTCGATTTGGCTACCACCACCCTTTCAGGCAATATATTCATGCAGTATACTGTGGGAAGCGCTTTCAGACGCATCACCGGCATCATATGTCAAAGGAACAAATGCAAACATATATATTATTATTCCTGGTTCAGGGTAACATTTATATTGCAGTGTCTTACCACTGGGTGTCTCTCGGGCGCTGAATTTCTGACAAGACACCACTGGCTTGAAAGCCTGTGAAAAATGGTTCAATAAAGCATATTCCTTCACACCTCTTCTAACCGTTTTCAGAAGGTTGCTCACCGCATCCAATTGCTTGGTTGACACTTTCCATTCTGAACAACAGATATACTCGAAAGGTAGATTATTGGAATCAAAGTTTGTTACAAATTGTGAGGGATCAGTCGACATAATGTACGGGTGTTTCAGGATTCTCTGACTGTTCTGCTCCCACGATTAATGAAAAATCTATTCCATATATCCGAATCAATCCTAAACCTGGTTTCTACAGAATATAGAGATTTTTGGTATCTCTTTTCCTGAAACACAAATTTCTTCATACAGTATTCCTGCAACTCGACCGATTATCAAGATCTGTGCTCTTTGCCAAAGCACATCTGGGTCCTAGAGGTTGGTGGTCAGACCATTAGCCTCGCATGCAGTGGAGATTCACAGCATTGAGCAATTCTGCGCAAATTTGCTTACTGCACACGCTGTTTAACCGACCAGTAAATAGGAACCCGGTTATCAGCCGAATGGCGAACAGTTTGCCAGGGGAATAACACCGTAAAAAAGTGGTAAATTGGTCATGCATTCAAGGACTGTATGCATGGCACAGCTGTGTGCATCAGGCTGCCGAGGTTCACTCTAAAAGCACAGTCAAGTTATTTTACCGTATATTCCACAGACAATGCGAGACGTGTCCACGACCTGATAAGGCACTTAGTATTATTATTATTTGTATACTTTGTTGAGTCTTTGTACTCAGGTCTCTCTGCACTGTCTCTTTGATGCGTTACTATTGTTTGCCCCAGCGAGGAGAAGTGAATCTGAATGTAAACGGTAGGGGGAGTCGCAATGCACCTCCACCAAAGATCACAGACAAGATAATAACGCGGAGACAAGAGACAACTCCTTAAATGGAGAAACGTTTATCAACCAGACGCTACGTTTAGATAAATTCTCGTTGCATTTCAACGGAAGATATTGACGTGAATCGACGGCAGTTGAGAATGAAGCAGAATTACAATGCGAAATATATGATTTTGAATGTAATAGTATTCCTACTGTGTGAGTAGATGATGCTTGTGTGGAAGCAAATGCTTTTATTTCCTGATAAATAATTATAAATTGTGGTGGCAGACTTTATCTCAAATCCGTTCCAAAAATGTTCATTTCTGTTTTCTTTCCTGGCCGCTTGGCCGCAAGTGACGTCTCACAGATACCTCAGGCCGTGACAGTGAATGAAAATGGAAATCTTTCTATGGAATGCATCGCCACTGTGACCAGCCCTGTCTTTCACTGGTACAAACATTATGGAAACGGATCCATTCGGTTCTTGTTGTTGGGAAAAAGCGACGTAAATACGAAGGACAGGATAGGAGCTTTGGCTGAGCGAAAACAGAAAAACTGTACGCTTACAATCGAAGATGTGCGAATATCAGACACCGCCATTTACTTCTGTGCGGAGTGCACAGTGCGGTGTGTCTAAATGGGACCTGTACAAAAACATGTTGGGTTTATTGTAGCTCAATGTTTAGAGCACTCGCCTCGCAAGCGTGAGGGCGTGGGTTCGGTTTCCGTTCGGGCAAAATGTTATGCTACTTTTTTTACTCTACATTCGTCTGTTTACCTCGCAATGTGTAGCAACATGGCTGTTAGTTGACTGGCAGATCGCTTTTCCAGGGCTAATAATTGCTTTAAAAAGAAAAGAGAAATTCACTTAATTCCACAAGAGTTTGTGGGACACCGCTGTGTGCATTCGGCTGCCGTATTTATCCCATAGCAGACACAGTCAATTCCATTCACAGTACAACCTACGAAATGCTATGTAATGTCAGGAAGACGTGACCAGACACTGTATCAAATGCAAGGTTTATTATATCTGTAATGGTTTACTGTGCTGGAAATAGGAAACCGGTTGATAGGAGTTTGGATGATCGCTTTTAGTCGATTAGAAAAGTTGATCACTCGATCAAAGACTGTTTGCGAGACACTGCTGTGTGCACTTAGCTGCCAGGTGTTTTCTACAAAATACACTGTCGATACACTTTGTCCTGCGAAATTCATATAAACGACTCGAAATAGTGATACGGCTTCACATGAAAGGCATTGGCAATTATTTTAACACACAGGTTGGTTTGGATATTAAAGAGAATGGCGATGGGTTTCCTGCCTTGGGTCAGACACCGGTTAAGAAAAATAAATGTGAATCTGTGAAGAATCATTCAGCAAAATAAATCGTACAACGCAGTAACTTGTAGAATTGAATAATGCTGAGAAACTTGTGTTTTGTCCCCATACTGCTGTAACCCAGTAGCCTTGAGCGGAGAGTGGCAAGAAGAAAACTCAACTAATTGGGGGTCAGACAGCTGAGAAACTGGTGAACAAACGTGGCTCCTACCCTTTCGCTTTGAACCCTCTCAACGCCTCGTTTCACTTCGTTACCAAATTGACAGCTGCCCCCGGGGATGTGAAGCCCACACACATTAGGTCATTGTCTTGCCATCTGCACACACTCAGTGGGTTCCACTGAATACACCGTCCTGTCTTGTTTTGATTATCTGTATTACAATAAACCTTGACATTGAATAGAGCGAATAATTTCGCCTCTGAGATGTCTCAATGTGCTTCACAGAATATTCTCTAAATTATATTGGCTGTGCATTTTGAAGGCGAAACAGGATATTTATACCCAGAAAGTAAACCAGCAATCGACTAACTACCAGATTCCTACTTACTGCGCTGTAAACAGTGTTGAGTGTGGAGTAAGAAAATTTGACCAACAGTTGACCATGTCAGGAATCGAACAGATATCTCTCGCTTGGGGCGATGGCTTTAATCCGTGGGCTACAGAACTCTACTTATTGTACATATATGTGAACTCATTTATGAGCGTTTGATGAACTTACATATGGGTGTATCTTGCTACAGGTTTCAGACATCCGATTGAACAAAAACATATTAGTGATGGAAGAGAACCAATGGAGGAGCAATGCGGCAGAGCAGAGAAAATGACGCAGAGACACAAGATTTGTACGTAACCCTCAGACCCTCTCCCTCACAGTGTAGAGTAACTTCTCCAGGTTATTCCAGTTCAGTACTTCTCACCGTATCTTACTCTCTCACAGCCAACATTCTCCAAACGCCCTGTGACATTGAAAATATTTGATAATGTATACCTGTGTGGTAGCAGCCATCATTGCCTTATCAGGTAAGCGATAAACTCACTCTACCAGTCTGGATCCTATACATATTATCTGATGCTCATGTTTTATTTATGGAATTTATTAAATTCTCTGCAGCAGAAGGCTGTAGATGCTCAGTCCATGTACAGGTTCAAGACTGAGATTGATAGATTTCTAAAGGATGGAGGGATTAAGGCACATAGGGATAAGGCGAACAGATGGAGTTAGGTTAGAAGATGAGCCATGATATTATTGAATGGCGAGGAAGGCTCAAGGGACCGGGAGGCCTATTCCTGCTCCTAATTTCTGTGTTCCTATGTTCTTCTGTTCATTGCTTAAAAAGCCAATACGGTCCATGCCTCATGGAGACATCTGGCTCAAAGGATAGCGAACTGCCCTCACAAGCGAAAGGATCTGGGTCCCGATTCTCGGGAGAGACTGGGCGTAAACTTATGAGGTTTTCCATACACCACAAATACACACCACTGTTTACCTTGCAGTCAGTTGGTACCTGTTTACTAAGCGATTCTTGGATCAAATTTCGATGGCAAATCACCCTTTAGAAAAACATATACTGATAATAACATTAAGAATGCTGAAATTTATTCCATAGCTATTTTGGGGAGAATGTTGTGCGCAATTAACTGCCACGTATCGCCCACAAACTACAAAGCAGATGTATATTCTGTGAAGCATTTGCAGATGTCTCAACCAAGTGATAAGCGGTTATGTCAAATCCAATTATTATTTTTATTATTATTGCTGTTGAACTCTGATATCTGTGTACTTCGCAGGACATTGTGGAGGAGATTCTGTGACGCAGCGCCAATCTACTGTGATAACGAATGAAGGGGATGATGTTTATCTGCAGTGTAATTACACAACAACGAGCATCAACACTCCCTATCTCTTCTGGTACCGACACTATCCCAACAAAGCTCCAGAGTATATCCTCAGAACAGACACCAGCAACAAGTTCCCGGACTACGCCGACTTCGCAAAAGAACGTTTCTCAACGATTGTGTCTAAAGCGGAGAGAACCGCCCCAATAAATATATCCCAAGTGAGAGTGACAGACTCCGCGGGGTATTACTGTGCACTGAGCCCCACAGAGGCACAGATCAGCGATTCCGCCCTACAAAAACTGCCATGTGGAGTCCTGTAGCTCAGCAGTTACAGCACTCCCCTCGAAAGTAGCAACCAATCGAGATATATGTGTTTGATTCACGGCAAAGCGTTTTGAGGCGTTTCGAAGATGTGATTTGGCACTATAATAAATGCAACCATTGTTATTGTTAAATAGGATCATGTTACTTTCACATAAATAACTTCATATATTTTGCATTCTGCGGAGAACTGCACACGGAATTGTCTTCCTCTGATATTTGAATAAGTAGGAATAAATAAGAAATATTAACTTGCATTTCCGTAGCGACACTCATAACGGGAAAGTTATGACGGGCCGAAATCAATTCGCTATCAACTGTCTCCAAACGTACATGTGCTGTAGCTGCAATCCACCAGCACTAAAAACACACATAACATGAGCAGCGACTGACATAACTTGTCATGTTCCTTTCTGTAAGTACCTTCATTGGCAGCAATAACAGGTGCTTCCTGTTACATAGTTCACTAATATACACTGTTGCTGCTTCAGCTGACATTTAAAAAACATGATTATCACAAAACTTAGCTGGTGCAAGAAACATTATTTGTGTAAATTTTTATGTTTACTATCGGTCCCCAAAAAAAGGCAGCCACCTTTATGTGGATCTCACGACGGTAACAAAGGTAGTACATTTTGTTATGAGCAATATCGTCATTTATATTGGTTTAATTGGAAAAATAATATAATAATAATAAACTTTGCATTTGATATAGCACTTTTCACGTCGGGAGGACGCCCCAAAGCGCTTCACAGAACACACTGTAAAGTGAATTGACTGTATATTTGTGTGCGAGCGCGGCAGCCAATTGCGCACAGCAATGTCCCACAAACAGTCGTAGATTGAAAATGACCAACTTATTATCGTTTTTGGTTTTGGAGGTGTTAAAACTGACCTATTTAAACTTAATGGAATAACTGAAGAATTGTCTTGGATATAATGTGAGCTCAAACTGCAGAACTGGGTCCAGAACCAAGAACATTCAGAATCACAAGTGAAATTACGAGTAACAGAGAGAGATTATCTCTTCAGCCTTAATGATAGAAAATAAAACGTTATTTTCTTAAGCTAGGCTGCATGGTTCAAAATAAATCAAATGAATGCGTTTATAAAAATTAAGATAATAATAAGCAGCTTTACGTTTGATATAGCGCCTTATCGTGTCATGGGGCCGTGTGACAATGCTTCACAGCGTATACATTAAAGAAAATTGTGAACGGGTGAAACGCGACTACTCACACCCTAGCCCAGATCCATTGGCTTCCAATCCGCGGCAGATCAATTTGAAGATCCTCACAGGAGAAAGTAACAACAACAGATGAAGGTTGTCACCTAAGCCTTGAAGAAGGAACTTGACACTTGAGATGAGGTTGTATGGGTCATTTATTCATCAAATAAATGCATTCATTATAACAACATTTAAAATAAAAATAAGGTTTTCATTTGATGTCGTGCTGGATCACGTCTTGGAGATATCACAAAGCGTTTCACATACTACACTATAAAGGTAGTTGTTAGTGGTTGAAACGTTCGTCAACGTTCCCATCCAAGCCCAGACCCAATGGCTCCCAATCGCCAGCAGATCAAGTTCAATATTCTCTGGTTAGTGGGAAATGCCTACAATTGGAGACAATAAACCACTGAACCCGTCACATCAGCCGCTTCCTCACAACTTGTCACTGAAGCAGCGACACAGCGATATACAAAGCAATTGAGTCCATTATCGGTCCACACGTCAGCAGCCAACATGACAGCTCTCTTCCAGTTACTGATAGCAATCCTCACCATAGCCAGTAAGTATGTGTGGACATGCCCAGCGCATGATTTGTACACTATAAAATATCAGTTGCTTAATATTTAGAGCAATCGGCTTGCAAGCGAACGGACCTGTGTTCGTTTCTCGGGCAATCGAAACTTTTAATAAGTTTCACGCTTCTCTTTTTATTGGGAAACCGATTGTTCGTCGATTAGCGAATCGCTATCCGAGGGTAACAACCCATTAAAAAAAAATCAATTAACTGTAATCAGATCATTCAATCTATGGTCTGTTGTTAATGTTGTTGGACAATGCTGTGTTTACTTAGCTGTTCAGTTTCGTCTAAAATATATAGTCAATTCGGTTTACAATGTATTCTCTGGGCTCTTTGAGACATAAACTGTGTGATAAGGCGCTATATAAAGAGAGTAATTATTATCAGTACAACGAATTGAAATATCACTTAAATTTGCTCAGCAAAATGTGTTGTTTTTGCTGTTCTTGCAGAAGTCGGCGGACAAGATGTTGTATCCCAATATCCTCCGGAGGTAACAGATTTAGAAGGAAAAGACGTGACACTAAAATGTAATATTTCAACATTGGACACAGCCTTCTGGTTTAGGCAATATCCCGATGGAAACCTTCAGTACTTGTTCAGGATATATGGCTCTGGAAAGATAGACAAAACTCCTGATCTACCGGAACGTTTCACAGCCGAGCTGATCAAGGAGAATAAAGTAATTAAGATGCAGATATTCGGGGCTGTTATGGGTGACAGCGCTGTGTATCACTGTGCCCTAAACCCCACACTGCTACAGGAAGGCAGATTCCCCGTACAACAACTCAGCAGACAATAATATCTTGCTCTCACACATTTAACATGTGCTTTAAACAGACTGAAATACATATGCAATTAAAACAGGGAGATTGGTGCAGCTCTGTGTTTATAGCACTTGCCTCACAATCGACAGACGTGGGTTCAATTGCCAAGAGAACTGATCATGGTGCAACCTTCCTTATTCCACCTTCCCGTCTCTGTTTACCATCAGAAAGTAGGAAGCAGATTGTCAGTCGATTGGCGGATCGATTTTCCAGAGTGAACAATTCCTTAAGAATTATCGTGGTAAAAGTAAATTGGTCACTTCATCCAATTGGACACCGATATTTACAATTTGCTGCCGTGCTTGGCCCTCACAATATGCAGTCAAATCGATTACTGTATATTGAAGAAGCACTGTAATGGCGTCTCGAAGATGTGATATGGCGCTGTATCAAATGCAACTAGTATTATTCTTGTTATTAACTGTAGTCATGTTATCAATCCAGTAATAATTAAAAATGTCTTGCATTCTGGGGAGCGCTGCCATGTGCAAAATTCTTACTATGCTGCATCAGTAAGTAAAACAAACAATTTCCGTTTATATTGCTTACACAAAAACTACTTCCTCTATCTATAGAGAAACTGTGTTCTTCTGGTGGTTGGGGCCATGCAGAATAAGGGTGCATCGGAGCCAGTCCAGTTAGCAGAAAATTGGCAGGAAATAATTACGAAAATTTTAAGGAAATCTGGAAAACTTCCACAAAGCATCTGGAGAGGCTGGTTCCATTCATATTTTCCAAACTGAGTTGGATATATTTATTTTAGCTCAGAATTTCAAGGAATACGGAGAAAAGGTTGGAATGTGTTGAGAGATAAATCAGCCATGATGTAATATAACGTTGGAACAAGCTGAAGGACCTGATGGTCTGCTACTGTTCCTATGTAGCGCTTTCCACGTAAGGGAGCGTCTTGGCGAGTCACTAAGGAAACGAAACATTTTAGTGTATAGAAGTTAAAGAAGAATGAAAATTAAATTTAATTTAAAGTCTAGTGAGCACATTTGCATTGCGACGTCTCCCTCACGTGAACCGACTTGAATAAATGTCAATATGTTGTCACTCTGGTGCAAAATGCTCCAAGTCAGCTAACTGTTCAGTCAAATGATATAATCGATGAAATAATAAGACAAGGAATTCAATAGAAATGGAGGAGCAAGTTGCACAGCAAGTGTCAGCACAGAGACACGTCAATGTAAAAGAATGTGAATGACACCGAATATCCGAATGTTCCAGAGAGGAATAGAAAATAAGGGTAGCGAGCAGGGAAACTTGACTAATGCACAAACTTCCTGTGGAGAAGATAGCACCAAGGAAAGGCAAGACGGGCCCAAAATAATTATGCTGTGAAACCTCTCCAATTGTGTACGTGTTGTAGCTATAATCCACCAGCAGATGGCGCACTAAATAAAAACACATGTAACATGAGCTGCAACTCACATAACACGTCACGCGCCTTTGTGTAACTACCTTCCTTTGCAGCAGTAACAGGTGCTTCCTGTTGCAGTTGACATATTTCACTCATACACACTATTGCTGCTTCAACAGAAATTTACAAATATTTGCCTGAAGTTTTAACATAAGGCCTAGGTTGCTCATGAAACAATTTCTATCTCACCTATTTTATATTATTGCCTTTATTCTCGATTAGCAGCCGCTCTTAAATTGTTTTCTCCGCGGTATAGCAATTCTCTGTTGACATTTGTTACAGTATCGGCTTCTGCCACACTTTCAGGCAATGCATTCAAGATCAGAACCACTGACAGTGTGAAAAAAAATCTGCTCCTCACAGTTTGATCAGGCAACTGCATTAAACGTGAACATTAAGCTATTTAATACGTTTATTACGATATAATTTTAAAAAATCATTGATATCTCATCCCGCAACTGAAACATTCAAAAGCGACCAAACTGCTCACTGTGAAATACAGATTGGATTAGGTTCTGCTGTTGTGGTCTGACACTCTAGAGCAGGCCTGGCTGTCAGTATTGTTGGTGAAGCTTGTCCTTCCGAGGTGATATTAAACCCACGTCCAGGCCGCTTGCATGAAGAGACTATAGTGATGCCATTGCAATGCTCCAGAACGTTTTCAACCTGTGTCTGGACAGACTTTCCATCGGTTAAATTCATCTTTCATTCATAGCTGTTCGAAGGAAAGTGTTGCATACAAATTGTTTGAGGAGGTTTGAGGCGTGTCGAGTAAATGACAAGGTTGTATTTGATAAAAGCATTTCTGAAACCCGAATACTAAAAACATTAGTAAGGGCATATCTTATTCAACATTGTAATCATAACGATAATAAAAGCAAAAGTTGCATTTGATATACTGCAACAATACGTCATTGAGACGTCTCAGAGCTCTTCAC